GTGAAAGTATTTTTCAAAACAAATCTATACATATGGTTTTCACATTTTCAAACTCAACAACTTAAAAGTTATTCATGATTTATATTTTCCAATGTTTGACCCAAGCTTGTTCAAAAAGACCTTACTTTTGGGTATAGAGGGAGTATATGTAACGAGACATGAGATTATTAATTGAGTCAGTGGAAATGAATGAATCCAACGGCGGTAAGGGAGGGTGAGTGCTGGTTCACATGGTTAGATGAAATGGTGTCAACAAAGTTCTCACCTAATGTTTGCACTTTGTTGTTAGTATAAACTCTCCCCAGCTGACTGCAGACCTATTCTTTGAAATGGAGGAGCGAAGTGGGGAAAAAGCAGCGACAATTTGATTCGATTCGATTGAGAAAGGAAGGATGGGATGGGTGGTGCTGCTTCCTCCAGATGCCTGTCTTTCCGTTTTGTTCTTCTTATCTCCATCTCCGATGGCGACTCGCGGAGGTCCAATAATACTGCACCACAGTAGTGACAGTAAGCAAGTTCAGATCGAGTAGCTCACCTTGATCAGCATTTGTCTTATTTGACATCTCGTAGCTGAGGACTACATGCAGAACAAATTGAGTAGCTCACCTTGATCAGCAAGTTCAAATTGCTTGCTTGCTTGCTTACTGGTACAATTGACTTGGGCACTTGGCTTGGTTGGTCACCATAGATATGTTTCGTTTCACAGTCGGCAACTATTATAATCCCCTGTCATCTTGATTGTGTCCAAGCACTACGGGATACATGAGCTTTGCCGTGTGCCAAAGCCCCAAAAACACTCGGTAAAGCGTTTGCCGAGTGTTACACTCGGCAAAGGTTTTAATGGCAAAGAGCTGTTTGCCGAGTGTCAAACGTCGGGCACTCGGCAAAGACTATGCCGAGTCCTCAAAAAACACCCGGCAAACATTTTTCGGGAAAATAAAAAAACAAGTCGTCGGACACCACCACCACCACCATGCCCCGCCGCCGGCCACCACCACAACGCCCGCCGGGGTGCTCCTCCCTGCCGGATCCGCCATCGGAGGGCACCTCCCCACCGGATTCGCCGCCTCCACGCTGCTGCTTCCCGCCGGATCCACCCGCCGCCGCCGTGGATCTGATCATCGGCGAGGGAGAGAGTGAGGGAGATGAAGAGAGGAAAAGAGAGGGAGATGGGGAGAGCTGACCTACCTTGGACCCACGCCAGCCGCCGCAACCCCATCGTCGTCGGAACCGAGCCCCAGCAGCCGGATCCAATGCATGCCACCGTCGCGAGGCCCACCCACCGCGGATCCACCGCCGTGGAAGTCCCCTTGGCCCTCCTCGCCAGATCCAATGCCAGCCGCCGTCGCGAGGACCACCCGTCGCGGATCCGTCGGCTGGAGCTCGCCTAGCCCTCCACCACGGGGGGGGAAGAAGGAGGGGGTGCCCGCCAGGAAGAAGAAGAAGGGGAGGGAGGGACGTCCACCGGGAAGAAGAAGGGGGTGGGGAGGGGCGGCCATGGCGAGGAAGAAGGGAGGTAGGGCAGGGCACCGGCGGGAAGAGGGGAGGGAGGGGCCCACTGAAGAAGAATGGGGAGGAGGGGACGCCGGGGAAGAAGAAGGGGGGGGGGGGGGCGCCCAGCAGGGGAAGGGAGGGAGGGCAGGAGCCTGCTGGGGAAGAAGGAGAGGAGAGGAGGCCACGAGGAAGAAGAAGGGAAGGAGGGACGCCCAGGGAAGAAGAAGGAGGAGGAGGGCGGGGCCGACGGGGAAGAAGGGAGGAGGGCAGGCGCCGTGGGGAAGAAGGGAGGAAGGGCGCCCACGGGGGAATCAAGAAGGGGGAGGGGGAGGGGGCGGGGGAATTAATTAGGATTTTTGTCCTTTGCCAAGTGTCCTAGATCTGGGCACACGGCAAAGTTTTTGTTTTAATTTATTTTCTTCTCCTTCTTTTTTCAGGAAAAAAAATTATTTCTTTGCCGAGTGCAAAAAATAAAACACTCGGCAAACCCCTTTTTGCCGAGTGTTTTTTGTTGACACTCGGCAAACCCCCTCTTACCGAGTGTTTTTTTTTGCCGAGTGTTTTTAGCGCAGCACTCGGCAAATAACTTGTTCGCCGAGTGTCCAAGGTAATACACTCGACAAACATAAAAACACTCTGCAAATTTGACGTTTCCGGCAGCGAAGGTTGAACTGAACGGGACCAGAAAAATAAGCAGCAGCAAAAATGATGCGTCTAGCATCTGACCGATCGGCAAATTTTGTCATGATCCATGTACGCACGCATGTAGTGTCGAATCTGTTAGCTATATTATACTACAACAAAATTCAATATAAACCACGCACAGTGCTCGATTGAACTTATCCGTGCATTATATATATAGCATAATTACAAAAATGATGCAAAGATCTGCCCGCCGTGATGTGGATCGTCCAATAGCACACAACGCCTCCAGTTCCGCTGCTGTGTTCAGTCATCTCTTATTATCAAAGCAGGGGAGTTTGGCCAGCTATCAGCGTGGCCACGTCGGCCCGAATTCCCCTGCCCGTCCGATTCTCCAATCGACGGCCCGTGTTGACTCCACCGCCAGCTACAGTACGCCCCGCCCGCGACCAAGCCCTCGGCGGCTCTCCCCGAACCCGACACCCTCCTCCTCTCCGCTCTCTCTCTCTCTCTCCCTCCCTCGCTACCGGCTCGCGACGTGCCTCAGGCGACGGCGCGGGACGACCTCGGCGGTGGCCCGCCCTCCGCGCGGCGGCGGCCTCCCTCCTCCTTCCTCCTCGCGACGCAACGCGGCGGGTCGCGCGGCCTAGGGTTTCGCCCCTCCGTCGCCGGTCGTCCCCACGGCCACGCGGCCAGCCAGCGGAGGCCCTGACGCGCCGGAGGCCTTTGGCGGCGGAGAAACCTCCGTGCTGGCCATGCATGACGACGGGGAGGCCACGTCAGCAACCTCGGCGGTGGATCTGGAGCGGCCGCTCGCGGGGCCCCTACCGGCGGCCGATCTGAGGTTGAAGCACGCCGTCGACCTCGCGCAGCCAACGCAGGCGGTGGATCTGCGGCGAGCAGCCGGATCCAGCGCGAGCCCTCCCCGTCTCCACCACCCGCCTGCTGCCACCGGTCCGCGGCGGCGGCGCCCATCCTCCTCCTCCTCCTCCTCTGCCCTCCCTCCCCTTACTCTCCCTCTCTCCCCTTCCCTCCCGAGGCGGCGGTGAGCGCGAGGGAACGGCGCCCCCTACGGCCGCCGCACCGGCGTGGGTGGGGCCCAGTCGCGTCCTTCCTCTCCCCCATCGTCCGCACGGCCTCCTCAATGCTTCCTCCAGTCGGGGAGCGTGAGCTCCTTTGCTCGGTGAAACCCTAGGTACGGGCCAAACCCTAAACTGTAGCGTCGCTCTCCCCCCCCCCCTTCCCTAAACTCCCTCTCCTCTATGTGACTCTCGGTGTAAGCTACTGGAACTGCAATTCAAATTTTCTTGTATAGCAAATGAGACCTCATATTTATTTGCGCGACTTTTTTTTGCCCTCAAGTCCTACAAGAAAACCACATCATACCCACCAAAGTTGTACAAAGCATGAACCTTCTTGTCAAACATAAAAAGAAAAGAGTGATCTATGTACGTGTCAGAATCGAACAATAATTCGATTAGTTCACTGATATGCATATTCTTTGTTTGTGCCTTTCAGGTCATATAAATAATCAGTACAATACCTGCTTCTGGATGTTGGTGAAGTCTGGAAAAAGTGAACAAGAGCTTCAGCTGGCTTTGAAGGTAGTACAAATTTTCTTGAGTTGCTGACCTTTCTATCACAATGGTATAAATGTTTTAATTCAAGTTTTGTTTTGCTAGGGAACATTTGCAAAGGACAAGAATGAGCTGCTTGCTCAACAATTCCAAATAAACTATGATGATGAACCGGCTATGTTCCGCAAAGGGTGTAGTGTTTACCGAGAGAAGGTGATACTGCAAATGTTATCAGTCATGCAAGACAACATCTTTCTTATAATGTATTGCGTATTAACTGTAGGTAGAAACAGCTGTGAAGATTGATGACTATGGGGAACCCATAAAAAGACCAAGATTGCAAGTTACAGCTGCGCATGTTGATATCATAGGGCCTGAGTTTTGGGAAAACCATCAACAGATTCTTCGAGAAGGTCGGTTTGAATTATTCAGCTGTCCTTTCTACTACAGATCAAGCTATGTGTGTGTATAGCATTAACTTAATTGATTATTTGGGGAACAGGAAAATTTTTGCGTTGGTTTGTAAAGAAATCTGGCATCAATCACATCTTTTGTCCTTGTAATTGGATCGTTGTTCGCATCAATGCTTGCCAGTTTGATCAGTGAGGATCCTTCTTTTTATTTATCAGAAGCATGCCGGTTCTCTTTAGGATTAGCTTGATTGCCTTATTAACTGGGTGAGGTAAATGGCATTTCCTCACTTCTTCCAATTTCTAGTCTCTATGTGACTCTAGACAAAAAAAAAAACATCAATACTCATGGTCGATGGTACGTGTGAAAACTGAAGCTTTAGAATATTTCTCATGCAGTGTGAAGATCTGAAATAGTTTATTGTATTGCCTTCTTTGTATTTGCTAGGAAATGTCATCTACCACGTCAAGCATTTCATGTTTAGAATTTTGAATAGTTTTAACGTATTAAATATAAAAAGAGCTTCAATCTTTAAGTTTTTGTGCATGACGTATGTACATTAGACTCCTAATATTGTTTCCATGCAAATATTAAACATATTTTTTACTTGCGCCTTAACTGGGTGATTTACCGGCGCGCGCGATGGCGCGTGTGATGGACTAGTTTGTTATATAAGATGAAGCAGAAATGAGTGAGAAGAATCAGATGCGCGTACCATCTACCACCAACCACGCGCGTCCACAGAGGGCACCAGCCCAAAAACAAAGAGAGCAAGCATAGCAGAGCGCCAGAGCCAAGAACTCAATTCAGTTAGCTAGCTAGACACTCTCTGATCTTGCTGGTTGATGCATGGCTTCCTTGTTGCGTTGGAACGACATGTACGTCAAGGAGAGGCTGCAGGGCCTCTCTGGCCTGTCCTGCTCCTCCGCGGCCTCCACTGGCCGCGCCATCGACCGCCACTCTCCGCGCCTTCGTGACCCTCGCCGGCGTCTTCCGCCATCCCTGCCCAAGCCACCCAGACCCAGCTCCCCCTTCAGTAGTACCATAGATTACTCCTCCTCCCTGAAGCAGCAGCAGCAGCTTTGCCACTACGACGACGATGGCAAAGTCAGAAGGAAGAAGAAGAGCACCGCAGCAGCCGCTGGTAGGGGTAGCTCGTCGACGTCGTTGTCAGAGCATAGGAAAAAGAAGAAGAAGGCGGTGCAGCTGCAGCAGGTGAGCCCCGCGAGCTCGTCCAGGTTCCTGCTCAACTCCTCCAGGCTCATGATGCAGTCCGACGACGAAATCACCGTCGTCGACTCCTTGCCGCCGCTTCCGTCCCCGCGGCCCTACTTCATTGACGACGCCGGCGACGACATAGACATATTCCCACCCAGCCACGGCGGTGCCGTGTTGTCGGCTGTTCCATCCAGTCCTGAGCTCGTGGCGCCGCCGGTGGACTTGTTCGCTGAGCCGTCTGCATCAGGTGCAGGGTCGTCCTCCTCCTCGTTAGAAATAGGAGGAAGCCATGTCGTTGCCGGTGGCAACACTGTCATGGTGAGATCATGTTCCACGAGAACAGGCCAGCACCAGGTGAGATTATATGATTCATATCGTTGTGTCCAGCTTCGTCGATAATTGATGCATGAACTTGTTGCCAACTTTGTAATTCGCACGTTGAGTCACAAAAATACATAAACTAATCGGATAGAGCTTACATACGACGTACAGGTGGTGGTTTTGAGGGTATCTCTGCACTGCAAGGGGTGCGCTGGCAAGGTGAAGAAGCACATCTCCAAGATGGAAGGTGAACTTTTCACTCATTCTACCCCTTCACCTCCAGTTCAGTTTCGACAACTAACACGTACAAGCCTGCATCCAATCCAGGCGTTACTTCTTTCGACATCGACATCGCGACGAAGAAGGTGACGGTGGTGTGAGATGTGACACCGCTAGGCGTCCTCAACAGCATCTCCAAAGTCAAGAGCGCCCAGTTCTGGCCAGACTCTCGCTCGTATTTGTCCACGCCGCCGCGTGCCTCCGCCTCCTTTTGAGCTACTCCGATCCCCTACCTTCACAAACTTGATTGCTGGGACTGTGACGCCAATACGGTCTTTCAAATAGCTTTTTCTCCATATTATTGTCGGTTGGAAAATATATTTGTAAAATCCAATCAAAAAATTGTTCTATTGTGAAAGACGCATTTTACAACATGTAATTTTTACTATATACATATGTAGAAGCATCTATTTGAGATAACCGGTCGTTGTAATAAAATTCTTAATTAAAATTTAACTTATGTTTACCAACTTTGTTAAATATATAAGTAGCCAATTTATTACGACACTGTATTAATACTAACCAGATCAATTGGACATGTAGCCATTTGTTATAGTACTCTTGTGGTACATGTCTAGAGCGGTTTTTTTAGAGGAACAAATCTAAAACAGGATAGGCCATGCCAACAACCCACTAGCCCAGGAAATGCCAAATTTCAGCTCACTTCACCATGCGGTTCATAGCAAGATTTAAAAGGGTTTTCCATATGAATGAACTATTCTGAAATGTAAAGGCAAAATTAAAGTATCTTTGGTCTACCCTTTTGGTGTGGATCTGGTTAACAAAATCAAGTACCAGAAATATGTCCATTCAACTGCGAGGTGACTTGGAACCATGCTTTTTTTTCATTAAACCTAAGACTTTATGTTGTGATGATGTATCTATGTTCAAAGCTAGTTTTTTTTTTTTTTAAAAGGTTCTGTATATGAATCTTTCCGATAACCCATAAAAAAGTTCTAGTCCATATTTGGATCTTTAATCTCGTATAGACCTTGTTAAAGCTTAAGTGTTATTGGTAGTTTCCTAATTAACAAATGGAAGCTAGAGCCTCTAATAACTTGAGCCCTGAGCCTAAGTTGTACAACATGAGTGAGTGTATAGAATCCTGAGACAAAGATCGGAGGAGGTTTATTGGTACACTACTGCCAAACCAAACTTCTGAGGTGGGTAAAAACATTAAATAGAGGTGGGCACTGCCGCCTCTATCATTTCGTCACTGTAAATCAAGAATAATACAGGCGGGCCAATAAGAAAGCAACAAAAACCAGATCCACTTACGGAGCCCGCTACTCGGGCCTGCCGGCCGAGCCCTCTACCTAGGCCACCACGCCTACTCGATCTGCCGCCACGCTGCTGCACCTGCTCGATCTGCCGCCATGCTGCCATTCCCAGCTCGATCCACCACAGCAATTGCTACCGTTTGGACGGGCCAACGCTGGAGATCCATACACACCTCGATTTGCACACCATGGCTAGGCCACCTCAATGCCTTGCTGGACCTGTGCACCTTAGGCTGTGGTGGCGCCCCCACGCGCCCCAGAGATCTTCATCCCTCGACCGGGTTGCCGATGACCAATGGCTTGGGCTCACTACTACAAATTAAAATTCAACACCGCTGGTTCGAGATCCCCCTTCATTGACGGTTTTGGCCCTTGTTGATAAAAGTTGTTCGTAATAGTCTGCATGATTACCGCTGGTTGCGCACCGAAGGAGGTATTGATCATCACCATCGGATCAGCGTACTATCCGACGGTGCTGTCGGTTACTTCCCGCCGCGTTAGAGTACGATCCGGCAGCATTTGGTCGCATACCACCGCCGGTGTTGCAGACGATTCGGCGGCGATGACGAGGACAACAGGGCCGGTTCGGTGTACCATCCGACGGCAGCGACGGGGACAATAGCTACGGTTCAGCGTACCATGTAGCGACGATGACGAGATATCAACGTCGGTCCGGGTTATGATCCGATGTTGATATAGTTACTAGCACAGCCAATTGCCATTTGATTCGGCGGTGTTGATGTCAGTATCACCGTTGGTCTGGCGTACTATATGCAGCGGTGAAGCCCTCTCCATCACGCTATGCTTGCGGCGATGTTGTTACTATCATCACCACGGGTTGATTCCATATCACCAACGATTTGGACAGGCCATCAGTGATACTGCATTTTCTAGAATCTCAATTGTAATAATAATAGAAATATTATTTTGATTACACGCCTGTCGGTGCAGAAAGTGATCAACACGTAAATATTTATAGTTTTGCCGTACATTGTGATCGGAGATGGCCTAGCACTCAATGACATAAGGTTTATACTGGTTCAGGCAACATGCCATACGTCCAGTTTGAGTCGGTCGGTGACTTTATTCCTGAGCCTAGGTGCTCAAAGTTTGCAGTGGGGTTACAAACGAGAAGGAGAAAGATGGGGTGTACGAGAGATCCGGTCGAAAGGGCCGAGAGCGATAGGAGCTCCGCTACGAGCTAAGTGTTCAAGCGTTTGCTTGAGGTCCAAACCTGGCGGTTCTATGGTTGTAAGCTAGTGAACTTGGTTGATCTAATGAATCTGGAATGACTTGGAGAGCTTGGATTGACTTTCGAACTGCCTGTGTTGTAGGGAGCATCCCTTATTTATAGATGAAGGGGATGACTTTACAAGTGAGAGGGAGAGGGTATGTATGCTATCGAGCCTGGTTACCCATGCCGACGGGTACGAGATAATGGTAGGCGCCCACAACACTATTGATGCTACTGTTTTAGTGTCAGATGCATGTGGGAGGTGGTGTTGTCTTCTTCGGGTATGGCAGACGTCGGTACTTGCATATATTGTTGATGCCCAGAGACATGTGAGGGGTTTCACCAGGCTCACCCGATACGGTAAATCCCGGCGCCCACAACACTATCGATGCCCAGAGGTATGTGGGTGGTGCCTTACCATATGGGAGTTAATGACGCCCACAATACAGTAGCGAAAAATATCGGTGCCTACAACACTGTTTGTGTCAGGGAGGCTGTAGAGTACTGTTTCTGTAGATGTACAGGGTACGGTCCCTGGTATCGCGGTTTGACTTGTGTGCCCTGCCTTGTTTTCTCCGTTCGTTCCCTGGCCCCTTCCGAGCGGGCGTCCCCGGTCGGTTGGTCCCAGTCGGCTCTGATTGCACTAGTCGGAGGAGAACAGTGAGCAGGGTTTTTGTGTACCCCGGTCAGAGACGTGGGGTCAGAGTCAGAAGCGGTGCTTTGGCTAGGCCTTCCGGTCGGAGAGACCGTCCGAAGGCGGATGGAGACCAAAGTGAGCACTCGGGTCGGAGAGGTGGGCCGGAGTCGACAAGTGGGCGTTGTTCCTCCTCCGCCAGACCTTCCGGTCGGTGACTAGACCGCCCTTCTGGCCTGTTGTTCGGATACTCGGGCAGGCCCACGAGTTGCTTGCTGTCTGCTTTGGGCCGAGCCTTTGTTGGGAAACCGATCCGCGAGGGACCCTGAGTTTATGAACCCAACAGGAGCCCCAGAGCCCCCGGGCGATTTGGGCAGAATCGTCTGGGGGATTTTTGCCTCGACGGCGGGTGCGCGCGAGCGCACCCGCGGGTGTAGCCCCCGAGCCTCCAGGCGGTTCGGGCAGAACCGTCTGGGGGGTTTCCGTGTTGCCAGCGGGGGAGGTTTTTGTTTTGTCGACGGGTGGGCGCGAGCGCACCCACGGGTGTAGCCCCCGAGCCCCCGGGCCGTTCGGGCAGAACCGTCTAGGGGGTGTTTGTTAGCGATCGTGTGTGCGTGTTTTTCAGTCGAGATGGAGTTTTGTTTAACCAAGGTGTCGTTGCGTAGCCGAGGCGGTTTAGTTGGTTTTTAGGGATCGGGTGAGACGGAGCTCGCGGATCCTAGCGTCGATGCGTGCCGTGGGATCAGACAAGGTAGTTAGTCTTTTTAGGGATCGGACGAGACAGAGTTCGTGGATCCTGGCGTCGATGCGCGCCATGGGATCGGGCGAGTCGGTGTCGTGGATCTTGGCCTTAGTGCGACCCGTGCAATTGAGGAAGTTAGTTTAGTTAGTTTGGGATCGGGCGAGCCGGAGCTCGTAGATCCTGATGGGGTGAGTTCGGGGTCACAGACCAAGGTGGTTTGGAGCGCAGTCGTTGCATAGCCGGATGGGGCGAGTTCGGGGTCATAGACCCGGGTGTTTTGGAGCGCAGTCAGAGCGTAGCCGGATGGGGCAAGTTCGGGGTCACAGACCCAGGTGTTTTGGAGCGCAGTCGGAGCGTAGCCGTATGGGGCGAGTTCAGGATCGCAGACCCAGGTTGTTTTTTGGAGTGCGGTCAAAGCGTAGCCGGATGGGGCAAGTTCAGGGTCGTAGACCCAGGTTGTTTTGGAGTGTAGTCAAAGCGTAGCCGGATGGGGCTAGTTCAGGGTCGCAGACCCGGACATTTTGTGTCTTGAGCCCCCGAGCCCTGTTGGGCTTTAGTAGGGGTCGGTTTGAGTTGTGTATGTTACCCCATCCTCGGTTCCTCATAACTGGAGGGGCTGAGTTTTGTCGCTTGTCCCGATCGCTCGGGCTCGAGTGACGCGCTCGGTGATTTCGCTAACGGGTATGATCGAGTGGAATCTGGGTCCGTCGTTCATGACGGGGTCAGCATAGCCCTCTTGTGACATTCCACTGCTCCTTTACCTGCAACCCGGTAGATACCTGGGTCGTTCTGGAGACCGACCTAGGTGGCCTAATGGCCTCCCCTCGATGGAGATTTTGTGGGCTTGGCAAGAGGTTCAGGATCGAATGAGAAGATTGAGATGACCCTGTCTGCCAGACTGGGCGAGGGCCGCACGGGGCTCATCTGCGTTTTTCTCCCCTGGCTCTGTTGTTGCTCATGTCAAATGAGGCAACTGCCGCTTTGTGATGCAACACGGAGCGTTGTGATGCATTTTGCTGCACGTGCGATGCTTAGTTCTCGAGCCCCCGGGTGGTTTAGGGCCCGAATCGTCCGGGAGGCACGAGCATATGGAATGAATGCGCATATGGATATATGAAATGACTATAAAGAAATAGAGGGGTTGGTAGTGTTTACCTTGATGACTTGAGTGATGGGGTTTGGAGAGCTTCAGTCAGAAACGTCCGACCGGG